GATCTCCATGGGATAACAAATATTGGATTAGGTAGTAGAATGGACGAATCCAATTTATTTTTTTATTTCTTACACTTGGCGTCTCATTGGGCATGCCAAAAAATATATGTTAGCTTTTTTGGCTTTTGAGGGTTAATAATGTAATTTTAAACGTGTCAACAAAGATCAATAAGTCCTTACATAAATTATAATTACCAACTAATTATTAGATGATTGCGTTGAAATTCTTTCAGGCTCAAGGAAAAAAACTTTCACTGGTGGCTTTGCTCGGGAGAAAATTAAAGATATTGACAATAACAATAGATAAAAACAGTTTCATAAACTGAATTTCATTAAATAATAAGAACTTACAATGATACCCTCGTACTTCCACTGTCTCGAAGAGTTTTATAGCAACAGACTACTTGAAACTACTCCTAGGAATTGAAGTGCAGTACATGAATTGAAGAATTGGAAATGTAAAAACTGGAAAGAAAAATATAAAATAAATAACTGGTTTTTGGATCTGAATCTTCTCTTCTATTTATACCCTCTAATGGTGACCGTTGAAGTGGTCTTTTAACCATCGAAATGCTCTTCCACGATCACTGGTCATGGCCTTGAACAGTTTGCTTCCACGATACCATTCTTACAGTTGGACTTCCCTCATGAATTTTAATTTGAATTGTGAGTAGCTGTTGGGCCACGTCACCTTGTGCCTTCTAACTACTCCAATGCTGCATAGATCTTCATTGATTAAAAAAATTCAACAACCAAAACTCACACAAAATAATCATCTCAATATTTAACCAGGAACATTTTTCACCACCTAAAAATGCTTTTTTACTTCTTCCGCATCCAAAAAATATACGGTCGAGCTTATTCATGGAAGCCAACAAAAGCGAATTCTTAACATGGGTTTGCAGTTCATCTCAACTTAATAACAGATCACAGTCAAAAAGAGGTTTTCAACCTTAATCAAAGAGTGAAGAAGAGAGAAAAGACACCATTTCACATAACAAAAAACAGAACCCTAATCGAGTCCATACATGTATCACATTCATGAAATCTTACCTTTTCGGTGCAGATGAACGGAAAACATGGGGACGACTGTTCTTGGAGAGGTAGATGACGGCTCTACAAGCTCGATCTGCTGTGATCAGAGAGGTCGACAACTGTTTTCGTGGGTGTTAATAGAGCTTCTTCTCGGTCGCTAGAGGAAAAGAGAATAGGAGAGAAAAGTGCGAGAGGCGAGAGTTTGGGCAAGAGAGATCATCAAATGGGTATATATAGTGGCATTTTCGTAAATAATGGAGTTTGGGAGGGGCATTTAAGTCATTTCACCCCCCACATAGTAGCTGTGCGCTTAAGCTAAAATATTAAGCATCCTCTGACCAACTTTTCAAATGAGTTGAAAATTAGCTTCATTTAAGCTATAAGTTGATTAAGTTAAGCTGAACCAAACACAAGTTTTTAACTTAAATTAAGTTAAAAACTGAGATAAGCTGCTTATAAGTTCAACCAAACACTACCAAATAAATAGATGGGTAAGGATAATTGCAAAGGAGGCAACGAGCATGGATAAGGATAGCTGCAAAGGAGACGATTGACATTTTCTATTAGTAACATTATAGTATAAGATTAGAATTGTTACTTTATAAACTTATAATTACATAATTGTGTGTAAATGCTATTAATTGAATTATATGTATGATATATATTTAATTTGATGAAATTGACAAAATTTTAATGTTGAAAACTGGTGGAATCATACTTTTGTTGGGGGAAAAAAAAATTTATGATAATTTTAATGTGAAATTAAAATAGATCCCAATCATTGACTGAAGTATAATCAAATGAGTTTGGATTCTTTGTAACAAGATCTTTACTCTACAAAAAGATTGACAAAAAAATCATTGAGAATTAAATGAAAAATTGTCTCATAAAGTTGGCCTCATGAATGAGGTATTGGGAATAGTGTATAATCACCTATCACACATTGATTGGAGAGGAAAATATTGATAAGTATTTAAATCGTAAGTTTTTGTTTTTGATAAAGGTATGAGCCCTTTGAGGTATCCAAATTTTTCGAATGAATGGAGTTATAGATACTTCAAGTATGGATTTAGACCAAAACTATGGTTCAAGTTGGTTATATAAAAATTGTCACGCATGTGGGCCATCTGCCAGGACCTGATTGGGTTGGGTCCATGTTCGTGATCCGTAGATTGTGGGCTTGGGCTTGAGGTTTGGGTTGGGTCGGATTAGTAACCCATCAGCCTAATATTTTTAGGCAATGTCTATTAGGTGGCTGCTGATATAGATATATACACGTGTATATAGAGTGTGCTATACAAACTTATTTTCCATCAATTTTCTTGCATTAGTTCTTCAATTTTGCAGAATTGAAGTCTACATTTGCCACTGGAAGACTCTCCTCTTCTCTTTTTATTGTGTATAAAATTTCACACAGAATTTTTTTGCTCTTATATTATAGTCATAATGCATATAATATATTCTTCTCATGTAAGAGAGTGCTATTATTGTCAGTTCGCGGAACTAACCAGAAGGTGCTTTTGACTTAGTGGGTTATAAACCGTCGTATCTTATAAGACAGACACCAACATACCTCCAGCACTCATGGTGAGGCGGCGAATCTATTTTAAGGAAACTGTGGTATCACACATGTTTTGGTTTGCTTTCTTTTTCTTATTTAAGTATTTTCTTTTGTTATTTATTTCTGTTCATCAAATTGTATGATTTAGTCCCATAATTTCTTATTTGTAATATCAATTTAATTAAATATGAATCTATTTACTTTATTTAAATACACAATTTACACAACAGTTTCAAGTATGAAAGAAAAAAATAAATACATAATAAATTGTTATCTTACTTATTTAATTAGATAACTAATCATACATTAATTCATGAGATTATTAATCATTTTATTATTAATCATGTTAATCAAACAAGGTCATATTATTTTATTTACTAAGGTTAGGGATGAAATTTCAATGATTTCTTTATAAATATTTTATGATTCAATCATGGTTTTTAATTTTAGATTATTTTGATTGATTGATTTATTTATTTAAGAATTTTTTTTGTACATAATCTCTTGTTGTATCATAAGACTCTGAGTACGATAAAAACTTGATATTCCATGCAAATCAAATAACTAGATTTTTCGGATGTTATAAACCAATCAAAATAATCAATCTTTTTGAATTAATTTTTATATAAAATAATTATTTTTGTCTTCCGATTAAAAATATCATTTGTGTATGCCTCAATTAAGTTATACAAACTGAATTTGAAATATTTTAAAAAAAGTAATGGTGGAAAATTCTTAATGCCTTAACACAAATTTTATTATTATTATTGTTGTCACTTTAGTTTATCTTTCAGCCAGTTAATTTTTCTCAGATTATTCATCAATGTCACAAATTCAAAATCAAATCTTCTTTATTTTATTTGAGTGGTCGGTCATTCCTTTAAAATAATTGGTCCTTGTGAATTTAATATTGAACTCATCGATATACATATTATTTCGTGATATCTTACGTTTGGAATTACAATATTAAAGTTGCAATAAACTCAAATAATGAACTCTTTATAGGGGTAAATGTAAATATTAATGATATATATTTGTATATATAAAGAAAAATTATATAAATGATTATTTTTTACATTTAATGATGTGTAAAAAAATAATTTACTAATGATTAAAAAAGATACAAGGGAGAGTGGTTTTTACATAATCCAATAGTAAATGTTAATGAGTTATATATATAAAGAAAAATGATAAATGATAGCTCCGTTTGGGAAGTCAATCTTGAGGTTTTTTTTTGCTATTCTAGTCAGCAAAAATAAAATAAGTTTTTTAGACTAATAAGATAAAATATCACATCCAACTCATAATCATTACATTCATTCCCTCACAAAAAAAGCCAAAAAAGCTAAAAAAACTAAAAACCTTTCCCAAACCAAGCTTTTTAGTCCTAGGTTAAAATAACCAAAAAAGTCAAAAAATCAAAAAGCTAACTCACTTTCCAAACGAAGATAGAAATGCATTTTTTTTTTATTTAAATTCAACAGGTTCTATTTGACTTGTTTTGTACAATCTAATATTACAAACAAGCTTCACAAAATATCAATCAATCACCAAACTATTATTTCAACCATAAAAATAAACTATATTTATAAATTATAACATTCAAAAATTGTCAATATATACATTTCAAACATCCAAAACCTAACCGCAAGTTCAAAGACATCCAAAAGGACTATCCTTAAGTTCTAAATTATCCAAAAAGTTATATATCATCCAAAACTGTACATATATAAGTTTGTAATTGGAGATGCAACTTTAACACAAAAATTTGTTTACACAATGTTACTTGCAATAATGCTTTGTTGTCTTTTCCTTTTGTGATTTCACGCAAATTTAATAGATCACGAATCATGAATCACCATCACCAAAAATCTGTTTTCCTAGAAAAATCCAACAAATAAAAATGAGAAGACACATACATCCTAAAAACAAAATTAACAAAGGAAATGTTTGGTGTGGCAATGACAAAACATTTTTTATATTTTCAAATATTCATTAATCTGTCTATAATCAAGAACTAAGCTTGCAAATTATATAGACCAAACAGCCTCGTTGTAAAGGACAAGAAAGATGGAATACTTAAATGAGCATATAATAGCCATTGCCTCAGTTAGCAATCCATATTATTAAAACAAATAGTGGCATGCATATTAGCTATCAATAATGCCTCCACTTCAGTAAACAAAGTAAACCCAGAAAGTTACATACTCATTAAAATCATAACATAAACTGCCACATTAACCAAGATAGCATATATATGTTGTAATGCTAAAAAAATATGTTATTTAGGAGAAACATGCTCAAACATTAAATGAAGCGTACCTGCTCCTCCATCATGGACCTAGATATAGATCCTATTGCCCAACATAATGTGTTTAAGTTGTTCCATGTCCAATGCTCGCCACTCAGTTGTTTATTCAATTTCTTCAGCATCTATTATCATCCTAGGAAGGAAAGAAACATTTACATGTAACTAGATGGCATAGTCCGATAAATCACTATTAAAAGCACAGTAACGCACAACTTCCTACTTGAAAAAGCATAGCCACGAATTGCTGAGTGAATAACCAACAATAATCTGAACTCCAAAGTATTTTGAGTTTTGTTTGATCATATTATTTTTATATCCAGGCATATCCACATAAAGGCAGAAAACCAACACATAATCAAACAATATAGTGTCAGCTTTTCATGCTATTGGCATGAGAATACATATTCATACGGGCACAACCATTATATATCTATCTATCTAGGAGATATTGCAGCACAGTAAAAAAGGTGAACAACAAGGGCAATTGTAAACCAATACTTCCTTTTTGGTATCTTTGTGGTCAAGGTGTGACAAATAGATAAGTGTTTCCCTCATGATCTGCGACATTGTAGTTTAAATTAGAAATAGCAACTAAAGGAGAAACAGAGACAAAGAAACCAAACATAAATAATAAAATCCAAAGGATCCTAGTGCACGAGGCTCTCGCTAGTCTTCCCCACTTTTTGTGGAGAGGATGATTCCCAATAATAAATTTTAAAAACCCGTAAAATAAAAAAGATAGCTTTTCTTGATCTGTTACGCATTGTAGAATTCAAGATGTTTATTCATAATTAGCAACCAAAATGAAAAACTTGGGTGATTCTTGACAATTGCAAGAGAGGCCAACAACCCTGTTTTAAAGGGTCAGAATATTGAAAAAGAGTTGATAATACTTGCCAAAAACTGCTTCAACGCTTCATAAAAGTCCTAGAAAATTGTTTTTACTTGCTAAACAAATGAACAGGTAATCACATTAACATTTCCTCTGCAACAATTAGGAATTCCCATTGCCAAAAACGTTAAGATGTATTGAACATTTGTGAAATTCAAGTATTTTTAAAATAAAAATATGCAAAAGAAAGTGTATAGGATCATCTTTGTTAATTTTTTTTGTTACACATGCAATTTTACGTCTTTCTTCTACCCATAAAGCTTCAAACACTGATTTCAATTTACTCAACCCCAAATTACACTATATAGTATCACATCACTGCTTTGAACATACATTCTCTGAAGTGAGAGTCTAACAATACAAAAGAGGCTAACCACATATATTAAATATTAAAAAAGGAAAAAAGAAAAAGACAGGTTAACTATTCATTTCATAAGGCTTCCATAGAGAGATTGGATTCCATACCTGCCAAGTATAGATTTAACACCTTATATTGAACGAGGACATCATTGTCCTTCATAGTTTCACGGACAATATTCCCATTTTCATCCTCAATAATCAGAACCTCTTCAGGCTTAGCCATGCGGCAGATCATTAACAATCTTAACTTTGACATTGGACCACCAAAGAGCTGCCGTCATTGCAACAGTTATGAACCAAGACCATCAACAATACCAGGAAATGGCATCTGTCAATTCAACATGCACAAGTAAATTGAAAATAGTAAATCAAACATTCGATACAGATAGATTGAAACAGAAAATTAGACAAGAAATTCATAAAGGCCAGTCATCAGTATAACAGAAATTCATAGCATAGGACCCCCCATTAACATAACAAAACAGATCAAATAGACTTGGGCCAATTGTGTAGCTCATTTAAAAAAGAAAAAAAGCAAAACCTAGCCTTCACCACTCTAACATGGTGCCAACAAGTTAAAGTTGTAACACTAGTATGTTCACAAGCATATAAAACAAGTCGATCGAGGTCCTAGTTGCACAAATTTCTAACATCAGGTGACATCCCTTGTCACATCAAAACTCCACACTTCTTGCTCAAAAGCTAATATGGATCATGATCATAAAAAAAAATAAAAAAATAAAAAAGAAAGAAAAAATATGATTTTACCACAATCCAAACTTCAACCATGCAAAGACTAAAAAACAATAAAGATTAACCAAACCCACTTTTAGACCCCACCCAAATATTCACCCCAATTTAGTTGTTTGTTAGACTCAAAGGTTCAGAGTATCCTCAACCATAAGCACCAAGGATGTTTGTATTGGGAGGAAGAATGGCCTACAGAACACCAAAGCATAAATGAAACAACAAATAAAGAAGAATTAAAAAGTCCAAAAAAATTCCACAAAATTAAATCCAACATTCTAAACTGGACTTTAATAAACAATTTAAGTATATGAAGTTGCACCATGAAGATATTATACATTTTAACATACTGCATGTCATAGAAATCCCCAAAATTAAGGGCAACAACCTGCAAACAACAAAATATGAAATGGAAAGGTTGAAGCAGCTCAAAAGCACTTAAGGTTCTAAATTTACGTAGGTAAGATGGAACGAAAATATTCAAGGATCCATTATTTATAAGTCTATGCCTACTGATAATCCAAGCACAAAATATTAATCATATGCATACTAGCTAGTCAACCTATTAAACTTTTTTCTTGACTGACCACTTATTGATTAGGATCATCCCCTTAGGTTATTTCTAAGAACATATTCTTTAAGTACGACCATTTTCAGTGGATGCATTCATGTCCAAGAGAATGGAAGCCCACAATGTTTTGGATGCCATAAACCATGCTGTCAATAGTCAATACTAATTAAATCTACCTTTGACACCTTTTATTGAGAAAACAAGAAATAGAATATAGAAATCATAAATGGCTTCAGGGAAAAATAGAATTAAAAAAAAATGGGAAAAGAAAATAATTATAGCTAATGCTACTTGCTCTACCTGATACTGGAGATTTGATGGAGTTCCCAAAAAGCCCTCATACAAAACTACTGTTTTAAGTATTGGTGATCTTTTAATCCGTTGTTTGGTGTCTAGTGCTGGATTCAGTAATTTGCATATTGCATACAAAATATTTGAGGCAACTACAGTGCCAATACTGGAAATAAATCCAACACCGGCAAGCTTCAAACCGCCGAAAAGTACTGATGCAACTCTATGATTCACATTCCAGTCGTTCCCAGCAATATTCTTTTGAAATGCATTATCCAGTATGGAACCAAGTAAGCCCTTTAATGCTTCCATGCTGTCCGGTGTATCTATTGTATCTCCAATTGAAAGGAAAGACAAGGTTGGAGCAGGAAGCCATACAGTGAAAAAATCAACAACTGATCCCCTGACAGTATCCGTAATAACATAGTCAAGCTCTTCAAAGAAATTTTCTTTACGCCTTTCATACTGTGCTAAGAGAGTAATTGTAATTGATATAGCTTCTTCTATAGCTAGTCTATGTAAAAATTTGGGATCTGCCAATAATCTCTCCCTGAATCCCTGCAACATCAAGGCATTTGATGCTCAACTTAGTTCCTAGTCGATTTGTACTTTATCTATGTTTATTAATTGCTTAATCACCAAGTAGATAAGTGAATAGTGAAGGTTCCACGTGCACATATTGTAAACTGACTAAAATAAATGATGGAATAGGTTTAAGGTCAACAGCCTTTAAATCACACACAAAATAAATTGCCAAAACCAAGCATACCTGGAATCAATGAGTTAGTTCTGAAATAAAAGGATATTGCTCCAGATCAAAATAATTCTGCAGGACTTCCGGGGATACCACACCAAGATCAAGTCCGTTTTGAAGGTCCTGATAAGAACACATCAAAATATTCAGTCCATCATATAAAAACTCCCTTTCCAATTTCACCTTCAATAATGGCATAAAATATTGTTCTGGAAGATTAGGCTATATGATATGCCAATATCACATTGAATCTTCTTTTTGGTAAAAGAAAACCATGAACATATTATTAATAATAATTTCATCTCTATTTAGTTCCAAGACATTTTTCTTTTCAATAAAGAAAAATGCCATTCCCTTAATTCATAAAACCATTGTTTTCAATCAAGTAATTGTTAATAGCCAATTCAGACATATCTTTTGATTGTCATTCTTTCTTTTGCCAGATTTAAAAAAAATAAAATAAAAAATGTAACGCCCTCAAAAAAAATACATAAAACCCATCTCTTAAGACATGCATTGATACAAAGAAACCAACCGTCTTTCCATTAATCTGAGTAGTTCTTACAAAAGTATTACATGTTAACAACAAAAGCAAATGCCCTACGGGCTTACAGCTTTCCAAGTTAACACTTGGTTACAAAAAGAAGAGTGCTAACTCAATACATATTAAGCCCTTGGCTTGAATTTACATGTAATACATCAAAAGACAGCAAATAACAAAGCAGTTTGTTTGCCTCTAGCCTCCCAAGCTATGTCCTTGGAGGTGGCATGCTACCTGTACCTGAAAATGATGTCCCATAAAGGGTGAGCCACAGCCCAGCAGAAATACGCTAAACCAGCTATGAACAATGACTAAAAGATTAGCAGTTGATAGATGGTCAACACTGATACACTCACTTATATCACATCTCGCTTTCATGACATTTAAGTCCATGTTACATTTCATTTCTCATTTCCTTTTCAACTTTTGAGTTTGAAAACAAGGCTCAAAACTTAGCCAAAAAACTTGATGAGAATAAGACTCATCTTAAAACACTTTCGAAATTCATGGCGGATACACATTTTGATGCTGTATCAATAATACATAAGCCACTTCCATACTATACGAACGATACACATTTTGGTGCTATACCAACATAACATAGAAACACTTCTATATCTCACAATTGATAACGATATACATTTTAGTGCTATATCAAATCAATTTAAACACTTCCATAATCAACACTTGATACACATGGTAGTGCTGTATCATTGTCACACACAATCCGGCTTAGAGGTCCATCCCCTATCTTCCCCTAAACCGTGGAGTACATCCCCTATCTCCTCTCACACACACAATGTATATAAACATAAATCATATACACAAACAATCAATACATAAAGTCGATGTATTATTCCAACTGCTATATTCAATAGCATACTCAATTGATTAGTTTTAGTTTGCCTAATCATCATGCATTGTCTACAACAATCAAGACTATCCTCCACCGATAGCCCAAAGCAGTTATTTCTAAACAGGAAATAAATGCACCAAATGGATATATTATCAACATTCAATCTGCGTGAGTGATTAAATGAATCCAACTACACCCGTTTATCCCATAATCTTTTCAATTTGAATACTCTCAATTCAATTCCTCATTTCTCAAATTAATTATACAAATTAATTTATCCAACTAATTAGGGCATTTTCCCATAATTAACATAACAACCCCAAGGTTCCACTTTCATCCATAGTTCATCATCTATATCATTTCTCTATGCCAAACATGCATATAGGTTTAAATATAAATAAAACCCCATATTTTGTAAAATTACACAAAGACCCAAACTTTCTCAAAATTACCCAACAACCCCCAACATATCAAAATACTAAAATTCAAAGACAAAGCTCATAAAGAGGAGTAGGATATCCCTACCTCGAAGTTAGAGCTCAAACGGGGAAGTTGAAGAAAACCAAAATGCTCAAAACTCAAAGATCCACGGATCAAAATGGAGCCCTCGACGATCAACACACTTTTTACAAAGGCCAGAGGATAGGGAGACACTCTAACTAGATCAAACCCTAGAGAGAAGGGAGTTTCTAGAGAGAGGAGCTCTCAAAATATCTTTTTAGAAAGTAAGAGAGAGAGAGAGAATGTAAAAAGTGATTTTAAAATGTCCAACTGCCAACTGATATACGACATTCCCGCTCGAGCGGAGAACACAACGCTCGAGCGTAAAGAACAAAAAACTAGGTACGCTCAAGCGCAAGAAGGCCCGCTCGAGCGCCAAGACACAAGAATAAAGTACATCCGCTCGAGCGCGAAAACTAGTCGGCTCGAGCGTAGATTTCCCCCTCCCAGAACTTATACCCAAAAGTACTACCCGCTCGAGCGCCAGAGTACTCGCTCGAGCGCGACCGCTTGAGCGTAAAGAAACCCGCTCGAGCGTAAAAATCACATCTGCAGAAGTTTTGCAGGGACACGAAATACTGGGAGTGTGCAATCTCCGCTCGAGCGCAACAAGGTCTGCTCGAGCGGAACGACCAAAAACCTGGCAACAAGGTTTTAGACCAAGGTTCAACCCACCTGTTCGAAACATGCCCAACACATCCTAAAACTCAAACAAATGGAATTAAAGGACGACAACAAGATAGATACAACTACCAACTCCACGGAACCGAGTCCGGAATACAACAGAACAGTAAAGGGACAACCGGGATCGCTATAAAATCTTTTTTTCTCTCTAGTTCAAATCATCACACTCTAGGCTTAAGTCTCAAGATGTGTTATATCTAAACCTAAATTTATGGGAGAAGTGACTGGAGTTTGGCTTTATTTGAAAGTGAGAGATTGCAGGAATTTCAGAATGTTGTGTGGAAATTTTAGGAAAAAAGAACTTCTGGGTTTTGGAGTCAATTTAAAGTCCAAATTTAGTAAGGAAAGGATTAGCTCATGGAATATAGGCTTTGGAATGAAACAAAAGAAAGAAACTAAGGCAGGTTTGTGATTGAAATAACATAATCTAATAGCAGAGAATTAAAGACAGAAGAAAAGGAAGAAGAAAGAGAAGGATCTTATGGGAATCCCACTTTGATTCTTCAGGAATTACTCTCCAAGGTTGGGTTGTATCACAAAATAGCACAATCTTTAATTATCAAAATCCACTCTACTGAGTTGAAGAATAAGTGTTGCTATGTTTAGGTTGCTAAACTCCTACTTCTACTAAGATTAGGATCCCAAAAGTGGAAAACTTGACCTGTAACACAATCCTCGACCCACATTATATACCACATGTGAGCATTAAATGATTTGGTTGACCAAGAACATGGCCTGTGTACTTACTATATCACAAGCCAATTTAAAAGTGACCAGAAATGTAATGACTTGAGAATAAACATAAATACTCAAAATTAACCATTACATAGTAAAGTTTGAAGCATGCCCATGTGAAAATCTCCAATTTGTACCTTTACTTATTGTGTTCTACATCAACAATTGTGTTAGAGCCTGATAGGTGTACACACGTTCTTCAGGACAGTTTGTTCATATGGGGTAATGAGTTTTGGCTGATTTTACACTGCCTCTTTGTCTCTGTCCTGTTCCTGCTGTTCTTTCTTTTTTCATTTCGTCTTCCTGTTTGAAAAGTTTGGAATGTGGAAGCAAAATGATTTAAAATGAGTTTTTAAATCTCAACTGTTAGGTTTTATTTCTTGGCAATCCCGTTTGACAAAACTCCTTTCAGTTGTATTTCTTTTCGCACTTTTATTTCAGTGAGGCTATGAGCGTTTAGATGCGAATCCAACCCGAATTGTGCTTTTCAGAGAAGTTTGTGATGCTAATGCTTTCAAGATTGCCACTTCGCTGATTATGACGGGGATCGATCATGTTATATTTTTCCAGTTTTTCCAGTTTTGGCCTGTCCGCTCGAGCGGGGCATCGGGCGCTCGAGCGTGGATTGGAAGCTCTCAGCATCTCTGCAGTCACCTGTAAAAATACTGGAAGGTGTGATTTTACGCTCGAGCGGATTCTCCTACGCTCGAGCGCATCTCAGTTTGTTCGCACGCAGTTTTTGGTCAGTCCGCTCGAGCGGGCTGTGTTGAGCTCGAGCGGAGATCGCGGGACAGATTCTATAAATTCGCGTATTGGGTCAGAGTTTTAGGAGAACTGCTCCAGATCTTCTTTTTGGTTTCTAGGGTTTATATCTGGGGATACTTTGGGAGTTTTCTTTGATGTTTTTTGAGAAGAGTTCTTCAACTCATGGTTTAAAAAGAGTACATCAAAGGTTGTGTTTTGTTCTACAAAAGAGAGAGTTATTCTTCAGTTGTGGATTCTGAAGAATTCGAGCCTGAAGCTTTGGTGGAATCCGGAGTGGCTCATCAGAAAGAAATTGAAAGGAAAGACAAGGTTGGAGCAGGAAGCCATACAGTGAAAAAATCAACAACTGATCCCCTGACAGTATCCGTAATAACATAGTCAAGCTCTTCAAAGAAATTTTCTTTACGCCTTTCATACTGTGCTAAGAAAGTAGTTGTAATTGATATAGCTTCTTCTATAGCTAGTCTATGTAAAAATTTGGGATCTGCTAATAATCTCTCCCTGAATCCCTGCAACATCAAGGCGTTTGATGCTCAACTTTGAGTCCCTAGTCGATTGTACTTTATCTATGTTTATTAATTGCTTAATCACCAAGTAGATAAGTGAATAGTGAGGGTTCCACGTGCACATATTGTAAACTGACTAAAATAAATGATGGAATAGGTTTAAGGTCAACAGCCTTTAAATCACACACAAAAGAAATTGCCAAAACCAAGCATACCTGGAATCAATGAGTTAGTTCTGAAATAAAAGGATATTGCTCCAGATAAAAATAATTCTGCAGGACTTCCGGGGATACCACACCAAGATCAAGTCCGTTTTGAAGGTCCTGATAAGAACACATCAAAATATTCAGTCCATCATATAAAAACTCCCTTGCCAATTTCACCTTCAATAATGGCATAAAATATTGTTCTGGAAGATTAGGCTATATGATATGCCAATATCACATTGAATCTTCTTTTCGGAAAAAGAAAACCATGAACATATTATTAATAATAATTTCATCTCTAGTTCCAAGACATTTTTCCTTTGAATAAAGAAAAATGCCATTCCCTTAATTCATAAAACCATTGTTTTCAATCAAGTAATTGTTACAGCTTTGATAGCCAATTCAGACATATCTTTTGATTGTCATTCTTTCTCTTGCCAGATTTAAAAAAATAAAATAAAAAAACTTTTTCTCTCTAGTTCAAATCATCACACTCTAGGCTTAAGTCTCAAGACGTGTTATATCTAAACCTAAATTTAGGGGAGAAGTGACTGGAGTTTGGCTTTATTTGAGAGTGAGAGATTGCAGGAATTTCAGAATGCTGTGTGGAAATTTTAGGAAAAAAGAACTTCTGGGTTTTGGAGTCGATTTGAAGTCCAAATTTAGTAAGGAAAGGATTAGCTCATGGAATATAGGCTTTGGAATGAAACAAAAGAAAGAAACTAAGGCAGGTTTGTGATTGAAATAACAGAATCTAATAGCAGAGAATTAAAGACAGAAGAAAAGGAAGAAGAAAGAGAAGGATCTTATGGGAATCCCACTTTGATTCTTTAGGAATTACTCTCCAAGGTTAGGTTGTATCACAAAATAGCACAATCTTTAATTATCAAAATCCACTCTACTGAGTTGAAGAATAAGTGTTGCTATGTTTAGGTTGCTAAACTCCTACTTCTACTAAGATTAGTATCCCAAAAGTGGAAAACTTGACCTGTAACACAATCCTCGACCCACATTATATACCACATGTGCGCATTAAATGATTTGGTTGACCAAGAACATGCCTGTGTACTTACTATATCACATGCCAATTTAAAAGTGACCAGAATGTAATGACTTGAAACTAAACATAAATACTCAAAATTAACCATTACATAGTAAAGTTCGAAGCATGCCCATGTGAAAATCTCCAATTTGTACCTTTACTTATTGTGTTCTACATCAACAATTGTGTTAGAGCCTGATAGGTGTACACACGTTCTTCAGGACAGTTTGTTCATATGGGGTAATGAGTTTTGGCTGATTTTACACTGCCTCTTTGTCTCTGTCCTGTTCCTGCTGTTCTTTCTTTTTTCATTCCTCTTCCTGTTTGAAAAGTTTGGAATGTGGAAGCAAAATGATTTAAAATGAGTTTTTAAATCTCAACTGTTAGGTTTTATTTCTTGGCAATCCCGTTTGACAAAACTCCTTTCAGTTGTATTTCTTTTCGCACTTTTATTTCAGTGAGGCTATGAGCGTTTAGATGCGAATCCAACCCGAATTGTGCTTTTCAGAGAAGTTTGTGATGCTAATGCTTTCAAGATTGCCACTTCGCTGATTATGACGGGGATCGAGCTACCCGATCAGTTCGCGGGGTCGAGGGGCAGCGCCCCCAAAGCAAAATGCAAAAATGCATTCAAAGTTGCCTGTCCGATCATGTTATATTTTTCCAGTTTTTCTAGTTTTGGCCTTCCCGCTCGAGCGGGGAAAGGGACGCTCGAGCGTGGATTGGAAGCTCTCAGCATCTCTGCAGTCGCCTGAAAAAGTACTGGGTGGTGTGATTCGCCGCTCGAGTGGCAAAACCGACGCTCGAGCGTGGAGCCTGTATGAAATCATAGAATTTGAAGTCTCCGCTCGAGCGGGAAGACCCACGCTCGAGCGGACCGCGCGATCCCAGATTTCCAGATTTGATTAAAGAGTTGGTTTTCTTCTGAAATTAGGATTGCTTTGGTTTTTTTATAAATAATTGGTTTTCTCCCAACACTAGGGCGACTTCTCCAGATCTTATTTTTGGATCTTAAGGTTTATATCTGGAGAGATTTTGCTAGTTTTTCTTTGATGTTTTGATAGAGTCTTCAACTCATGTTCTAAAGAGAGTACATCAAAGGTTGTGTTTTGTTCTACAAAAGAGAGTGTTGTTCTTCAGTTGTGTATTCTGAAGAATTCGAGCCTGAAGCTGTGGTGGAATCCAGAGTGGCTCGTCAGAAAGACAATTCCGTGGTGAAGATGGGGTTGGAAGAGGCACATAAAGGTTGGTTCAATTAGGCGTTGTGGATTCGCTAGGTAATTGAGAGTATACCTGTGTAATTCCTTTAATTCTTCTTAGTGGATTGTCTTGTGGCTGTTGCCCGTGGTTTTTTGATCACAGTTGGAGGTGTCCAATTGTGGTTGATTTTTAGATTTCTAGATTTTTCATCAACTTTTAGTATATAGAGAACAAATTAGCACATGCCTCACATTTTATCACAACATATTGGAATAGCAAGTCTATAGTTCAAAATCAGAATTTGAAATCAATCACAATTTTCAGTTTAGCACACTAGAGAACTAACAGACCCCAGACTGACTCCAGTTTTCTAAATAATCCGTAGTAGCCATTTCCTATAATCAAAAAATGACAGAGTCTGACCACTGCATCCATCACTGACTTACACCTCATTTGTTCTACAAACGTGAACAAATGCTAGGGAAACATTTGAAAAGTTGTAAAGGAGACTTACAATTGAGGGAAACAACTATGTATAGAAGTTTAGGATACATCATAGAGGTGTACATCACAGAGGTGGCCCAAAGCCAAACAACATATTCGTCATCATCCAATTTAGGGTATTTTTTAAAAAAACACAAAATAAAAAGGGGAAAACCAAAAAAAAAAAAAACAATTCAATCAAGAAACTTATGTACATAACTAGATGATCTGTTTGGTCCCCAAGAAAACACTCTGTTTGGTAGCCAAGAAAAGAATCTAAAAAACTCGGAAAATGTACCTGTGTTCTTCTTTTGTCCACGGAGTTCCTTTCTTCCTCTCGACCTCACCGCGCTTTGTCTTTGCTGCCGACTCAAACGAGGTCTGACTCCTCTTTGACTCGGTCTCCCCACTACTCATCAGAATAACTCTGCAACTCGATTCGACCTGACTCAATCTTGTTCGCAAATCTCTGAGAGAGAGAGAGAGAGAGAGAGAGAGAGAGAGAAGAGAAGAGAAGAGATGAGTATGAGTGTGTACCTTCCCTTATCTTCCTGCCTATGCCCGACGCTGTTAAGTGGAGTTGTTAAAATCAAAGCCGCAAAGAGATGATGAGGGAAACGGCGATGAATGCCGCTGTGGAGCCAGTTGTCGTACCGGCGATGGATCCCCTTCGAACCAGTGTCTGATGATTAGAATCCATTAGAAGCCCAAACAGTTGATGTTTATTTGCCAAATATTTTTTTTTTTTGTTGAATTGGCGCCAGAAATTTTATTTTGGCACCTCTTTGTTTTTTGTCATACAATTTACGACATACATTATCCGTCGTAAAAATTGTAATACTTTTAACGGCAGACGTTTCGTGCGTCGTAAAAAAGTAGTACTTTTAACGGCGGGCATTGTGTGCGCTGTAAAAAGTATTCACTTATGCGCGTCATGTATAATTAATATATTAACGACATACTATATGTACGTCGTTGAAAGTTTTATTATTTATGACGTGCATTGCAAGTCGTAAAAAAATCACCTTTATTATCATTCATGGCCTATGCAATAAACACGCCGTAGTTGGAAAAGTATTTACGATGTGCAAA